TACCCAAACGGACAAAGGAAATATAACTTTCGAGGAATGATTTTGATCTTATTGATCAAACTAATTCACCTATGTCTATTTTTTTCTTTGTTTTATTTATTACAATATTTATGATTGAATCATGAGAAAATCGTGTTTATCTCAAATTGATTATTAAATAATCGTTTTACTTCTTCGATAAGGAACAATAAAATTGTCAGTGAGTCAAATTGAAGTAGTAGTAGTTTGGTAGTTTGTTGAAAGAGATCCATTGTCGCTTCTGAAAATTGATCGTCTTGAAACTTTTCGCAAAGTACAATATTTTGGTATACATGGTAAAGCCATGACTCACACGAGAGAAAGAAACACTCGAGCCAGCCGTTTCGTCGCGGTCCATTTTCAAAGGTACGTTCACACCGTGAGAATTGTTTTTAAGGATCGACATAACAGAGGTTCACGACGAATGAATCATCATTGTTCTTACCCTTTGACACATTTCTGTTTTGACTCAATTTGTATTTGTTGTTCTTGTTGTTTTTCATATCGTTGAACCGAAAATATTCTTCTCTTCTTCTTTGGGAATAATTGTGAGGGAAGCTTAAGGATAAACCTGACAGCTGCGGCGAATAGGCCACATGGCGCTGTTTGCGTCCCGAGATGCAGGGAGGCCTGCCTATCATCGATTTTATCGCGTCGTTTCGCTAACGAATGGACGGCCCCTTGATTAGAAGGCACGGCCTTCTATACGTTTTATCGGTCGATAGTTATCGAGAGAGAGAGAGAGAGAGAGAGAGAGATAGAAATGATTCGATCCTATTCTCCTTCAAATCCCATTTCTTCCTAGCGCGTTATTATTTTAATCGTCCAACGACCGCCAACATAGAGTCCTTGGTTCTTCCTTCCTACGAAAATCTACCAAGCGGAAAGGCATCTACGAGGGCAACAACCGATCTATGGACCGAACGTACTTCCGAACAGCTTCCGTATCGATATTTATGCTTTTCTTCTTCTGTTTTTTTTTTCTATATTTTTCTTGCATTCCTTATCAACGTGTGTACTAAAGTTAAATAATAATAATAATATTTTTTTTTTTCAAAATTTATTTAGACATCGAGTTTATTTAGGATATCCGTTTTTTTTATCAACGTTATCATTGATAACAAAGTTTTTTTTTTGAGATTAAAATATATTTTTTTCCCGTCGATTTAGTTTACTTTTGCTCCTTTTGGACTTTTTTTTTTTTAAAGAGAAATGGTGACGCCATTTCGTTGCAGTCATTCTAAATATTTAGAGAAAGTCTTTACACTCCCCCTCCTACGCTCGTCTTTTTCATAAACCACGTTGAAGCTCGACGGAATTATTATCATGATATTTCATAGAAATATACGATAGACTTTTTCTCGTTCTCCCTTTTTGTAAAAAGAAGATTCGTTCGTGCTTGTATTTGCTTTTTAGTAGTCAACACCCTTCCTTTAAGTCGGAGAAAACTATTTTCGGAGGTGTGTATACCTATAAGTGTACTTTTATACGCGAATGCGTATCTTTATCGAGCTAACACGACGCCCTTCAACTTCGATCGTATAAACTAGTCCATGACGTCAGAACCTCGAATAACAGAATAAATTCGTTGGACAAAAAAAAAATGAATGAACGATTTATTCGTTCAATTATCCAGCCAAGAAAAATATTCAATTATTTCTATATGTATATGTTAGGGGGGGGGTGCGGGACCAGAAAACATTTATTTATTAACCCTTTGAGTGCTGAATACTTTTTTTTAAAATGTTTTATAGAAACAAAATAGTTTATTATTAATTAGATCCTAATAATAAAATATATTTAATAATTAAAATTTTTCTTTTTGAATATAATTTAAATAATTAATATAAACACATTAAATTATTTTACATTAATATTAACAAACACGTATATGCGTCGAACAACTACGCTAGTAATTTTCACCAAACGCATAATATACGTCCATAGCACTCAAAGGTTTAAAGAAATCTTAAATGTTAACTCAACAAAATAATTTCCATCATTTTCTAACACCTTTTTGCCGAGCGTAAAGGCAATTGTTCGATTCCTTTAAAAAAAAAAATCCTTCAATTTTTCATTGACATTGGTCTCGAAACAAATTAACTGTAAATGAAATTTCATCGAAGAAATTTGGATTATTTTTCTTTCTCCTATAATATATTTACCTTTTTTTGTTTTTTTTTTACTAAAATTTATAATTATACATTAAATGTAGTTAGTTCATCACGCATGTGTCTAATGTTTATATTATTTTTATGTAACATCTTTATAGTTCCGGAATGAATAATCCCCATTGGGTTTGATCATCGCTCGGAGTGTCTCTGCAGGCGGCTGGTAATCCGTAAAATCGATAGAGTGTGACGCGCGATAACTGTCGTGTTTGTTATATACCCCCTCGAGGTCATTCGATTTGTGTAAATCATAATGCAGGTCACGTTCCTTTTTACACTACCGTATTTCAAACAAAATCTTATTATTTCTCGTTATATTCGATAAAAATTGTCAAGAAGAATGAGAAACATAACTGTGAGATATATATATATATATACATCGCGTCATTAAGTTAACACGAAACTCATCGCATCAGAACGAGCAACGAACGGTGCATACAATACATGCATATAATACACAAACGTACATTCGATTCTCAATGTACAGTTAGGTATGCACTTGATGCGTAGCATGCTATCTCGTTGTAGCATTATCGTGCATTATTCTATTATATTATTACACCTATTCTACCTTGCGAACATATTTCTAATAAGGGATTTATTTTATATATTGGTTCATTCGTTGGATACGTTAACATAAAGATAAGTGTTGTCAATCCACTGATGACAACTCATAGACACTCAATTATATCGAAGGAAATGGTAGGTAAAAAAAGAAGATAAAAAGATCGATAGGATTGGAGAGTAGAAACTAATAAAAAAAAAAAAAGAACAAAAATAATAAGAAAGAAGAAAATAATTGAACATCTCGTCTTAGAGAAAGGAGAGAAAGGAGAGAAAGAAAGAGAGAGAGAGAGAGAGAGAGAGAGAGAGAGAGAAGGCGCGGCTTAATTAGAAGGAGTCGTTTTCGCACCGGCTTTGCATTTCCCATTTGCATTTCCCCCTCCCATTTTACATTCCCCTAGCTTGGCTGTTGCTCGGAAAACGGGATTCCTTGACAAAAAAAAAAAACAAGAAAAAATTCTCTTTCGTTAATTCTAATGTAACGCGACAAAAGGAGTGTATACTTCTCTTTCTCCTCCTGTGTACGTAGGTAGTCTGTGACATTTTCAAATGTCAACATAATCTCTCTCTCTCTCTCGCAATACTCTACAACAATGAATTGTCAATTCGTTCAAAAGAGATGTTACGTACTTCTTTTTTATTTTTATCCTAATTCCAATACAAACTTTACGGACAAGGGTAAAAAAAAAACAAGATAGAAGAGAAAGTGCGTAGCCTACCTGGTCCTCCGACCGTCCACACGATCATCCACGATCGTCCCTTTAAAAGCTTAAAGACCAAGCCCCCATCGAGAAGAAAAAGAACGAGCGTATTAAGAAGAAACTGGTTAAGAAAGAGAAGGAAAAGGATGATGATGATGATGAGGAGGAAGAGGAGGAGAAGAAGAAGAAGGGGGAGGGGGAGTAGGAGGTGGAGGAGGAGAACGAGTCTCGCGATCCTCCAGGAATAGTAGCGCGGGCGTGAGTGCGTAGGCGTGTATCCGCCCTTCGTGAACGACTAAATGACGTTTCGAGAAACTCGACAACAAGAGAATCCATTCGCAATATGAAAATGTTCTTTTTGTACGTAGGAGGAAAATTGTTGTTATAGTTTTTAATGCGACATGTGTTATCCTCTTGTTTGTTATCTCTGCCTGTGTGAAAAAAAGAAAAAAAAACAAAAACTAACAATAAGTCAGCGTTTTTCGTACGTATACGCGCACCGGATCAATAAAATACGAAAAGAAGGTTTCTCGCGGAAAAAGAACCTTCGTAGAAAGGTTCCGAGAAGGGATGCGCCGCGGATGCGCGCGAGGTTCACTGTCGCGGGAGAGTTACTTTTGCGAGAGCAAAGCCCTCTTTTCTCTTCGTCGTCGTCGTCGTCATCGTCGTCGTCGTCGACGTCGTCATAGTCGTAGTCGAAACAAAATTCCTCTTTGCGCCGACGCGGGTCCGACGCTTGCGTCGCGACGCTACCGCATGCTACTACGATGATAACCCCCGCTCGAAACAATTATTATCGATCCATCGATAATACCAAAATTCAGGTTATCTCACAAAGGAAATGACCAGAAACACTATCAAAGTTTACGCAAGATTAAAACCACAAACTAATCAACAACATTCTTTAGTATTTAAATATCATTTAATTTTTTTCTTATTTTTATTATTATTATTATTATTTTTATTATTATTATTATTATTATTATTATTATTATTCTTATTATTTTTATTATTATTATTATTATTTTAGGATCGAAAGAAACCTTTTTTTTATTTCTTGTTTCTTCTTTAGAAATATCGCATACTTCGTCGATCGAACGATCGCAAGACGGATTCGTTGGTTTTGTTGGCACCTTTCAAGCCCGACGAATTTATCGATCATCGTCCCGAATCATGGATCTTTTCGTAAGTATTCCTGCAAAAAGAAAAAAAGAAAGTTCATATTTATGATTTAATAACGAACGATGATCACGTTAGGTTTCATCGTATCATCGAGGAAGAGGCCAATCAGCAAGATGTGTTTGAAAATATTGGTCGACCTGTGATCGACAGGTGAAGAAAATTCCAATTATTCGATAGATTTTCTTTTCATGATTTTTTTTTTATTTTTAAAATGTACAAATAATTAAAGCGTCCTCAATGGTTACAATGGTACGGTCTTCGCCTATGGCCAGGTTAAGTATAATTCATTTATATATAATATATTTGTATTATCTTCGTTTCTTTTTCAAAACTACGAGCGAAGCATAATTTATATTTGTAGACAGGCAGTGGCAAGACTTATACGATAACGGGCCAAATTTCATCGAACAAATGCCAAGGTATCGTGCCAAGAAGTCTAAGTTATCTCTTCGATTTCATTAAAATGGTATAGTTTTATTATTACGTTTAATATTTAAGTTATTAAGTAAAAAAAAATTGATATAACTATATTAACTTTGTAAGCATCCGGAAAACATTTATTCCGTGGACGTGGCTTATCTGGAAATCTACAATGAATACGGTTACGACTTGCTCGATCGAAAACAGCAACAGCAACAACAACAACAACAGCAGGTGCAGGTGCAACAAGCTATGCGTTTGGAAGATTTACCGTAAGTACGCGGGTCTGTCTCCTTTCTCGTAAAAGGGCTCCTCTCTTTCGTTGCGTATCGACATTCCGTAAGAAACTACTCGGTTGAGATCCCCATTTAAGGCTATTAGCTAGATCTATTCTCAGTATGAATATGGAGCAATCGGTTGAAACAACTTGGGGTTACGGGTCCTATTGCTTCCTTCTGATCGAGTCTAGAAAATTCCTTTTCGTCTTTTACCGTGTTTCCTTGTCCTAATTGAATTCATTTATTAATATTTAACCTCTTTAGACGTGTCAGGATTCAAGAGGACGAAAAGGGGAAACTGCATCTGAAGAATCTGACCTTCCACAATGTAAAGAGTGAAGACCGAGCTATGGAGTTGTTTCTTATCGGCGATTCGCGTCGGTAAAAATATCATTCGTATTTACCGACACTCATCGTCCTATCACATTTATCAAACTTCAAATGTTCGATTCAAGCGTTACAGTTGACACTCCTACGAATCCCCAATCATCGAGATCACATTGTATATTTACCATCGTCGTATCGATAAAACAATTTGGCGCTAATCGTTATAAAAAAGCTAAAATGCATTTGGTCGATCTTGCAGGGTATATAGCACTTGGAATTTTATTTTTTCCTGTGCCCCTTAAAGGTATGTAACCCGTTTTGAACGGCTGCATTTGTTCTAGATCCGAACGAGTTTACAAGTGTGAGATTAGCGGGACCGTTTTGACCGAAGCAAAACATATTAATCTCAGTTTACATTATTTAGAACAAGTAATAGTCTGTTTGAATCAGGAAAATTCAAGTCACATACCTTACAGGTATATATATTTTCTCTTTTTTCTAGATTTCAATAATCAAATTATTATCATTTGTAGAAATTGTTTACTAACCGCTATTCTGAGAGACAGTCTCGGTGGTAATTGCATCACGACGATGTTGGCTACGTTGAGTATATCTTCTGTTAACCTTCAGGTAGAATTTATTTCAACATTTTTTCTGTTGATGGTCTAAAAAAAGTGAATAAATAAATGATAATCAATTTTACAAACTTTAGGAAACTATATCCACTTGTAGATTTGCACAAAGAGTTGCTTTAGTTAGAAACGAAGCTAAATTGATATTAGATCATGATTTGGATAGTGAGAATAAACTTTTACAATTGGAGAATGAAAAACTTCGTAAACAAATCGAGGAATTAAAAAATACGTTATCATTGCAAGACAATAAAGATCGTCATGATGAAAAATTAGATTATTATAAAAATTTAGTGATGCAAAGAGATCAAGAAATTTGTATCCTTTTTATCAATATGAATTTTTTTTCTTTATTGTACAAATAAATTATATTCCTCATTTATCTTTAACTTTGGTAAAGCTGTGCTTCTCGGTTTGTTGAAAAAAGCCAAAGCTAAACTAGCTCAGCCAGAAGATTTGAACAAAATGGTAATAAAATCTAAATTGAAGATAAGATCAAAAGAAAGTATAGGTAATAATAAAGAAAACACATTAGTTGACAATCAAAATGTTAAATTATGTATAAAACAAATGATTTCAGCCGAACGTTTGTCAAAGACAACTACTAAAGTACTCGAACCTATAGAAAAACATGATGTTGAAAATAATACACTATTCGAAATCAAACATTCTAATTTGTTAGAAAAATCTTTGGAAGAAAAATCAATAATTGAAGAAAATATTGAAAAAAAAGATATTCCTTTCAATGATTCGTCAAAGGAAACTAATTCGTTAAAACAATCATTTAATTTAGGTACAAGTAATATAGAAAAGGATTTAGAAGTGAAGAAAATCGATGAAAATGTAGATGATAATGATATGTCTTGCGTACATTCGAATGAAACGAGTGTAAATCAATTGTGTAATTTAATAATAAACAACGATAATCTTGTAAATAATTCCATAACGAACGACGATCAATTAATAGAAAGACAACATATCGAAGAAAAAGTTAAATCTAATAACATTGATAATGATTTAGAGAAAAATTTACCATTGACCGGTGATCCAGAGATCGACGAAGAGATCATTGCGTTTTATAAAGCTAAACGATCTGGTGGAATTTATTAATACAATAATTTCAATATTTTACAACATATATAATGAATACAATCGAAATATTCATATTATTTTATTAAATCTAACATTAATTATATTGATTAAGAATATATATATATATATATATTTAATATATAATAATAATCGTGTAATATATAAACACGATTGAATCGATATTTATGGTAAAATACATGACAATTTAGACATGTCTAATCTTTCTCCGTGCATTTTAGCTTCTAATATTGTTAATCGATTTTTATCGATTACTGCTAAACAATGTCTCCTCGTCATGTTATTATGCTTTCGTATTTTCAATATTGAAATCTTTTCAGCTTGAATTTTGATAGTATCTCGAAGAACAAAACCTTGAATGCCTGTAATCAAAATGATCTTTCATTTCAATACCATTTGTATCAATGTGAACTCACGTTCATTATTTTTCTATTTGATTTTATTATCAAAAAACGTACCTTTATATTCGTAAACTTTCAAATTTTTATTGTTTTCAATAAAAATGAGTAATACTTCGATAGATCCTTCAAAATGAATGATCGTAAATGAGGATGGATTGTTCGTTGGTATTATTTGTAAAATTTTAGTTTCGTTCAAATCGTTGTCACTGATCTAACAATGCCAAAAAAAAATAATAATAATTATGCATTTTTATTAACGTTAAATATTACTTTTGTTATCTTAACTTACAAATATGTTATCCCTGGTGAAATTTGGATTATAATGCAAAAAGTATTCTTTATCAAAGATTCCTACTTTCATGGATAGAATTTCACTGGATCTCAAACGATTATTTGAAAATGTATAATTTGTAAGTGATTTATCAAGCTCGTAGATCGTATATCGATTACTCAATAATATTCTATCTGTATTGGAAACAAATTTCAAAGGTTGATCTTCGAAATGAGTAACATAATAATTCGGATTTGATATTAACGATTCGTTGTTATATATTTGTTGGATAGTTAGACTTTCCAAACGATCGGTAAACAATAATAAAATTGTATCATTGTTTAATTGTCTCACGTCACGAACATCTTCAAATTCATAAACGTGAACTAGTTTATCATTTTCGAGTTTCCATAAATTTGTCGAATTTCTTCCATACTTTGGTTCTCCCGTAACAAGAAAATACAATGAATCGTTGTGATTCAATGTTATCCAATTTAGGACGTATCCAAAATTAGGAATTCTCGCTATTAATTTAAATATTTTTCCATTATATTGATAAGCATCCAAGTGACAAGACTCGTAACTTATTAAAAGTAAATCGATATTTTGTATTTCGAAATAATGAACGCTTAATATATGTTGTTTTAATTCAATAGTTTCTTGCAAATATTCGAAAGCTTTGAATTTGTAGATTTGTGTTTCTGCATAGTATTGCAGGTTTACTGCATTTCTGCATAAATTAGATAAATTTGTCTGGCAAATAATGAAAAATGAAAATAATAATAATAATTAGTTCTCTTAGAAATGTATTCTTTGTGTAATTCACAATCGATATAATTCATTTATTTTGACGTACCGTTGATTCAATTAAATTTGTTTCCATTGCCATTTGATTTTGTTTCAACAAATTGGCTAACTCGGTCGAGTTAAAACCATTTAAGAGACCACCGTTTGTAACGATGCTATGTTTTAAATAAACGTTTCCATGTATTTTCCATTTTCCAGAGATTAATTGGTCCGATGGATAATTCGTTTTTACTGCTGTTGCTTGCCAACCAATTAATTCTATTTCATTGAAACGACCTAAAACTCTTAATGATCCATTTAGAATTACTTCTTTTTCAAATTCGACATTTCCTAAAAAGAAGAAAAAGATATTTTTTAAAAATATACTGTTATATAAAATCAGATATTGATTTTGTCATAGAATAATAATTCATAAATGTGTACCAATGATAACGTCGTTGGTATTTACGAGTACAATTTGTTTCGGATTCATATGATTTATGAGACGAGGATTAAAATCGTGACGCATGAGAACTTTACCGAGAAATGTTACATTTCCATGAACAATTTGATCACCTATTTTCTATCAAAAATAATACAATTATTCATTTATTTTGATGATAGATTAAAAATTAAGATAAAAAAATGATTTATAAATGAAATAATAATTACCATCAAAGTGTTCGTATAAATTTCGTTCAAATTACGTCCATTTATTTTTCTTCTTATGTCGATATTTTCTACGGTGATGTCAAAAGCTCGAATAAATTCATTCGAAATTATTTGATTCTCAGCTAATACTATTATCGAACTCATATCAATGTTATTCCAATTTTTTATGTTAACATCACCAATGAAATTAATATTCGTGAACGTCGTTGAAGCTAAAAAAACAAAACGATTTTAACAAATGTTTATTTAACCCCTTCAGTAGCAAGCATTTTGAAAAAAAAACGGCCAGAAAAGATCTTTTCTTTCTTCATAAAAGCATAGTTTAGAACATTGTTTTGAGAAAAAAAAAATTTTTTTTAAATACAGAAATAATCAATATTTTTATGTTAATTTTGAATTTTGTTCCATAAAAAAAGGTTATATTTTATTAATAAATAAATAATTGTTATAGCTTGTAAATGATAAATATCAATAAAACGATTCTTTTTCTTTGCTTTTTCACATTTTTATTTTCAATTTTCTATTATATATGAGTGTAAAAAGTTATAGAAATATAAAATAATACGCCGCTCTCGAGTTAACTCGAGCCTGCGGAAATCGGCCGGTTTTAGGGGGCTTGAGTTAACTCGAGCGTGCTGCTTAAGGGGTTAATTATTAAAAAAAAAAAATAATAAATAAATAAATAAATTATAGTTACCTGGGAAAAAGTATAGTCCATCCAAATAAACAACGACATCCTTCAAGTTATCAAAATCGACATCACCGATCCAATTAACTTCCAAATTTTCAACTACATCCAAATTTTCTTTCAAAATGATATCCTTTTGAAAAACAACGCTAGAATTTATCGTCAAAGGTTTATCGATGAAAATAGCTTTTTCATAAAATCTTCTTAAATTGATATCGTTGATAGATTCGTCGATAATAACATACGATTCGTTTAATTTCAACGATCCTATTAAATGTTTATCTCCCAACAATGTTACGTTATCTTCATTTTTCAACACTATAGATTCAACTAATTTGTTGAAATCTATCCCATCGATTGTACCATTCATTTTAAGATCAATTATTTCTATTGGATTGACAAATCTGACATTTACGTTTAATTCGTAGGTATCGTTGTTTAATTTTTTAAATCTGTTTATTAAATCACGAAAGTATACTTTATTTTTGATCTTTACTTTTGCATCGAAACTTTCAACAACATTTGCAGTACCTGCAATTATAGGATCACGAAACATTACATGATTTATCGAACGAATCTTGAGATGTAAATACAATCTCTATTTATTATTATTATTATTATTATTATTATTATTATTATTATTATTATTATTATTATTATTATTATTATTATTATTATTATTATTATTATTAT